CAATGAAGCGAATATGTAACCAGAAATGATATTACCTTTCATTGCACATTTACTTTCCCCCCCCCCCCCCAGTAGCACAGCGATATGTCTGCGGACTGACTATGCTAGAAACCGGGTTTCGATACCCGTGGTGGATAGAGCACAGATAGCCCATTGTGTAGTTTTGTGCTTAACTTCAAACAAACAAACATCAGTTTACTGATTTAATATATAAAACAATGTAATTATTGGTTGGGAATGAAATTGTATGTATAAAAACCAGAAATGTTTATTTTTACAAAAAAAAAAGCTTCAATAAAGTTTTTTTTTTTTTCCTAAGTAATTTTTTTCTTTTCATCCAATAAACTCTAAAACTACAAGAAATGGTTGCCGTCGTGATCTAACTTCGAAAAACAGAAGTAGAATGAAAATGGAAAATGTCTGTGCACACCCTAAAGAAAGATAAAAGAGGGATTAGTCATGTCGAGAATTACGTAATTTTTCTTGAACATTAATTAAACTTTGTTAGGTTTAGAATTAAAATTTTGTGAAATCTGGAAACCACGGATACATCTTTACAAGGCCATAAGCGATAGTAAAAGCAAAATCTCCCGTATTTTAAAGTTGTACATATTTTGTTTTTGTATGATGATCATTATAAAGTAATTTACTGATATCGCTCGTGCGATAAATCTTTATAAAAAATCGTATTCAAAATACGTGCTTTCTTGATGTCATTCTTTCTCGTTTCAAGTCACGAAGGGTCACGATGTCCCACCCCTCCCCTCCAGTGGTTCAGCGGGAAGTTTGAAGACTTATAAAGCTAAAAACCAGGTTTCGATACTTATCGTGGGCACAGCACAGAAAGCCCATTGTGTAACTTTGTAAATAACAACAAACATAAGCATAATCATGATGGCTGGCTACTTACCAATCAGTCTCTTGGTAAGAGTCTGCATCTTACGAATATGTTCATGTACTTACATATCAGGTCCGATTATAAAGAGCCATATCTTACGAGCGTGTTCACATACTTAAGAATCAGACCTGCCTGTTAGAAGCCATATCTTGCAAGTTTATTTACATGCTTACCAATCACATTTCCGGTAAAAATCTGCATATTACGATCATGTTCACTCACTTACGAATCAAATTTACTAGTAAAGATCCACATCTTACTAGCATGCTCACTTACCAATGAATCAAATTTACTAGTAAAGATCCACATCTTACTAGCATGCTCA